AAGCGCGTTAAAGAGTTTTCAAATTCGCATCAAGTCGAAAGAAATGCTACCAAATCTTACCTTATGTTATTTGGTCAATCTAAGGAGGTAACTTTCGATTACATTTTAAAGATCCACATTTAATTTGCGCTGAACGCGCAAGAAATTTGGGACTAAACTTTGATAGTGATTTGGTTTCAAGCTCCACATATATAAGTGCATTCAAAAAGCCCGTATGAGTTTAAAAAACATTTATCCCCATGTCACCTTTTAAAAACTAACCTTCAAATTAGATTAATAGATTCGCTGGTACTTTCTCATTTTAATTATGCAGATGCGGTGTATGGACCTTGTTTGGATCAAGAAGATGTAACCAGAATACAGAGAGTGCAAAAGTGGTGTTTATGATTGATTTACGGTGTCAGGCGACATGATCGAATATCGTATAAACTCAAATTGGTTATCCATGGACAGTTTCATGCAGTGGTGGGCATGAAAAAAATAAAATTCCGAACTGATGTCCACTCTTTGAATCTTCAATATATGGGTCTTATTTCTCCTCCCCCAGATCGTTAAGCATTGTTTGAAAGACCGTTTTCTGACTGTGTACAAATGATATAATGCTGTTCCCAATAATGTAAAGAAACTGATAAGAAAATTATATTTTTTTTTATAATCAACTTATTAGTCAAAGATAATTAGCCGAAGACAGGTTTTTTTTATGTCTTCATGTTAATGAATGGACACATTATGTATGTATCATAAGATATTTTGATATAAGTAGCTATGAAATTAGAGACTCGGCTTTGGTATTTTTGAAAATTGTTTTTGGTTTGCGGCTAGCGAAGTGCAAAAAATAAACATATATTATCATTCATTATTATTATTTGGTGACCAAACTAAGTTTCTTTAATTATTTATTATACAATTTTTATAAAACTTAACTTTTTAAAAAACATTACAAAAAATTGCATATATCTTGAAACAAAATAGTATGTAAAAAATGTATTTTTTGAAGAGTAATATTTTAAAAAATATTTAAAATTCATATGTGTTAGCCTAAATATTTAATGTAATATTTTTTATTTTTTGCAAAAGTGCAAATTTTTAATTAATTTCAATCAAACTATCAAAATACTGATTATTTTTTATGGCGTACAAATGATAAAATGAAATTAACAATTTTTATTAAAAGATGGAAATACTTAATATATCAGATATTCATATTTGAATAATATAATAACTCTATAAGTTATTAAAAGGCTGAGGTTCGAAAAACTTAGACAGGCATACAAATTGAGAAATAATGTGTTATCCGCAATTAGTACTAACGCGTATGACCAAGAAAACGATTTATCTACTCCTACTACTATCTTCTAACATTCCATATAAAATTTGCCTAGCAAAATGGATGCATTTACCAGAGTCATTACAGTTCCATGGAGTTTACTGATAACAACTAATAACTTAACTTTATTCACAAATTAAAAATTTTGGAATGGGACTTTTGTTTGCCTGTTTAACAACATAAAAATTTGTGATGTAGTTTTTGGTAGCTTACAATTCAAATGTATCGCATAGCAGAATAAGTTCTAAGCAAAATTATTGACCCTTTTGTTTAACATGGGGCCAGTTCGACGTTCCCAGCAAGAATCGCAGCAGACTTAACCGGGACTTAATTGGGACGCATCAACGACGCAAAGACTAAAACGAACCAGAACTAACCTGAAACTTGAACCAGAACTAACCTAAAACTTGAACCAACATTCATAAAATTTTAGCAGAAACTAACAGAAATATAATTCAAAATTAGTAACCTTTAGTTTTTAAATGTCTAGACGCAAACTCACTCTTAACGAATATATTTTTTGGTCTGTCTGGATAGCGAGAAATGTTAAAGTCATTGCAGTCTGTGTCTAAAAAAAGATTAACAAAAGAATTAAAAGGAAGTGGACTTTTTTTCGTTATTTTTCTAAAAATTAGTTTCGAGAAGACAGTTCCATTCGATAAATAAAAAAGCTTATACGCATTTAACAGCGGCTCACTAAATTGATCGACACGATGTGTTTGATACTTAATTCTTTTTTGCTCCTAATGTTTCTTACCAATTGTACCGTGTCATAGGGTTGTTTTGCTTCCTAATTAAGAATAGAATTTTTATAGATAATAGAAGCTTTCTTCTCTGAACGGGGGGCCAAAACCAACCTTCTATAACGAAATCTATATCTTAAGATTCACCCCACTGATAAATGATAAATCTATATAGTTAAAAAAAAAGTTGTCTTCTTAAAAGTCTTTTTAACTATTTGTGTTTGTTAGTTGAATTTTTGATTACTGCTCCGACCTCGGAATTACCATCGCTTGAAATATTTCCATCTACATTTTAAATCCGACCATCTCAAAATTGCCGGAGTTGTATTCCGGAGTTATATATGTTTGTAAACAGACACTTTACATAACGAGATGATAACCCCAACTGCGTTCTCGGTAAACATCCCCTAGGAAATAAATTTTATTTTTACTGTGGCCATTTTCGGGTCTGCATTGGTTGGTACTTTAAACCTTAATGTTAGATTTCGATTTTTGTAGAATGAACACCGACAATGTCTTTGTTTTTCGCCCTCTATGTCTTACTGAAACGTATCCATGTTCTGAAACATGGTATCATTTAATTCTACTTTATTTAAAATAAAATTCATATGACCGATTGGCCCAACGCTTTTCGTCTTTCCGAAAATACCCGCCCAGAAAGCCGGATTTAACGGCATTTTTATTACACTTTTATCTAAAAATAAGCAGCATCCCGAGAAATAGGACTCTTTATAGTTTACGATCTTTTTTGTTATTGACTGAACTACTCTATATTTGACTCGCAGAAAACCTTTTCATCTCGAGTGAAAGCTGAATTCTCCGATTTTTTTACCTATCCCATCCGAAAGGGTTTTACGACGCCCTCTAATGCACTCGAATAACAAAAAAAACGTTGAAACTTTCTCTATTATTTGGCATGAATATCGACCTAAAGGGGTATCTCTGAGAATCGAGTTTTTAGAAACTACGTTATAGAAAGTGCCTATAGAGAACGAAGGCGATTTTTTAAAAAATGTTTTCCACTAAAATTTATTATAACTTTTATTTTTTATATTATTTATTTATATCATCCGAGACTTATACCTCGGTAATTAATTTTTAGCGAAAGCATCTACGCTCGTATAAAGTCCTAGGGGACCGCCATTGATACAGAAATGATCAGCGTCGAAAAAAAATTTTTTTTGTATGTTTGTCCGTTCTCTGTTCTCTGTTACAGGACATTTTCGACAATAACTTCTGAACGGTTTCAGCTAGACGGTCCAAATTTTTGCCCCTTTGTCCATGAGTGCACAAGATATGTGTAAACGGCCGTGGTCAAACATAGGCGGCAATCTTTTTTGTTCAATTTTCAACTGCTTTTTGAACATCGCTATGAAACACGATAAGTTTCCGAAATTTGAAGCAATTACATTTCTTACATATATGCAGCTTGGTATTGAAACTGGGGGGGGGGGGGGGAGGGGTGTGGAGTCGAGACGTATTTAAAAAAAAATAAAAATAAAATCGCGTTTACAAGGGCCCACGAAAAGTCATTTTTCAAAAACCGTTTATGCAATCGAAAAATTTCTTGAACGAAAAGATTCGTAAGATCGGGTGTGATAAATTCCTATTCTTTACAATTTTCAAAAATGTACAGGGTGTGGCCGGTATTCACAAAAAACTCTATAAAGTTAATCGACCATAACATACATACATACATACATAACAGTTGTCAGCTAAAACTTTTGTATTTAAAGTTTTCACCTATTGTACAGAGTGTCCCATGTGTGTGTGTTCAAATGTGTCAAATTTGAATCTATCGACTTCGAATTTAGCAGAAGGGTAGGAGTTCGCCCTTGCATTTAAACTATTTTCTTTTGGGTTATTTTGTCTCCCTGAAAAAAAATATTTTTTCGAAAACTATAAACCCTACCGGCAAAATTCTTGAACCAAAAGACGCGGAAAATCCGGTACTATAAACTTGACTTCTAGTATTTTTTCGATTATATAGAGGGTTCTTCAATTATAGACAAAAATCTGAAAGACCCTGCAAAAAAATGGTAAAAAAAGTTTGCCATGATTTTCAATCTCGGCGACCGTGAACGGCACTTTATACAAGCGCAAAGCGGCTTCTTTGAAATACAATGCCGTGTAGCGGCTTTGTAGACTGCGTAGCGAGTAGCGCTGAGCAGTCGCCACGCCCAGCGACGAGATTAGACTAGAAATGTGGCACAGAAACCTTGATGTATTGAAACAACTCTGGGGGATGAAATAGAAGTTCACCACATTAATGATGTTTTCAAGGTTTGTGCTCGGATGAGTTGCTTCTCTATATATGCTCAGAATATATCTCACTATGTGTTTTTGATTGCTAAACAAATAATATAACAAGACTAAGCCAGTAAATACATTTAAATAGAAATCATCGTCAAAGTTTCACATTTATATAGAAGAATCTGCTTTTCAGCGGTAAATACGTTCTTGCTCCTTTGCATAAACTCGATTACTTGGACACAGATTTTGTTTGGATTGATGACCTAAATCCCGATAAATCTTGAGGTTCTCTTAAAGAGCTATATAAAAAACTGCCCTTTGAGATAAGGCTATAAACCATAGTAATAAACATGTTTTAACTCGGTAATAGTATATAAGTGCATAATATGCAAACTTTTGTGACGGATAAAAAACATGATGAATTGAGTTCAATATAAAAAAACTCAATATCAGAGGAATTTTATTTTATTTCCTTTTTGATTCACAGGGTTTAATGACTCAATTCGTTCTGGTAGTTGACTGTACACTTTATAGTTGTAATCTTGTTTTTGGTATATTATATTAATGTGTTCTATATGCTGCGAATGCAAATGGTATACTGGACTGAAATTCAATTTGTATTTATGCATTGGGTAGATCATTTGCCGCGTAAAAATAATATGCATTTTTAATTCTAGGTCCAAATGGCTGTCCACGGCGGCGGGGTCGACAAACCTACACCCGTTTCCAGACGCTGGAACTGGAGAAAGAATTCCATTTCAATCACTACTTGACGCGGCGAAGGCGGATCGAGATAGCACACGCGTTGTGCCTAACGGAGCGACAGATCAAAATCTGGTTCCAAAATCGGAGAATGAAGCTGAAAAAGGAACTAAGGGCGGTTAAGGAAATTAACGAACAAGCACGAAGAGAACGCGAGGAACAAGAAAGGCACAAACAGCAACAACAAGAGAAGCAACAAGCCAAGATAGAGCAGAGTCACTCGTCGTTACACCAGCATCACCACGATCCAATGAAGATGAGTCTCGAGAAAACGAGCGGTTCGGATCTATTGAAAACGGTGTCCAAAGTTCCAACTTAAAACGTGCCATTTAAGTTTTTGTTTATTAATTTTTGACTTTTTGTTGTGTTTGTCGTTTTTTCTTTTGTATAGACGGTGATGTTCTGTTTGGTGTACATAGGCAAATTGGGCTTCTGCTGGTGTTTCCCGTTGGGATAACCTTACAAATGGTAATCTAAATTGGTAGGTACGAGGTCGTACAATTCGAGTATATTGGACAAGGGTGAGGACGATTTCGTTTCTTATGTACCTTATTTTCGTAGTGTTACCTTTCTTTTCTTTCATTCGTAGTGTTTTGTCCCTGCGGGAAAATCAGAGTTCTAATTTATTTTAGCTTTACGCCACGCAAGTGACACGTGTTGTGCGCTAGCTTAGTTAAACATCGGACTTCAATGAAGCGGCTCTTTTGTTTCATGGCTTTCGTTAGTTAGTTCGTGTTTTTTGAAACAATAATTCGTTGTACATAATTGTAGTGTGTTCACGTTATTTTTTTATACTGAAAGTAACTCTATAGTATTTTTTTTAACGGTTATTATTATTATTATTATTATTATCGATCAGACTTCTCTGATCTCAAACTCATTTTATTAACGTTATTTTACATAAAAACAGTTGTTGTGATATACTTTTTTTGTTATTTTGAGCATGCGCGTGCTTAAAATTGATTTTTTGGGCAGTTTTATGTTTCTTCGATAGCATTTTTTACGTACTAAACCTATTTTAGGAAAAATTAATATGAATTCAGCAATAAATGTTTTAAACGAAATTACTCATTAGAGAGATATTTTGAAATTATTTGAACGAGACACGTTTTTGTGCCAAGCTTTCAGACAGAGAAATCCGCCGCATTATGACATAGTTCATATATATATTTTTGTTACGTATTTTAATGGATCAAGCAAGCTGAAACCCGTTTTTGTAGCGAAAAACTCATAGTACATTATACGTAATTTGGTGTCAGGGTAGAAAGAAAACCTATAAAATTACATTTTAGCAAAGATTACAGAAACTCTATTCGTAACTTTAAACTCTAATTACGCTCTATATACATTATACTTATCAAACGTACATAATACCATACACTGAACTATATCTTTTTAGCGCATTTTGGAAGTTTTTATGCGATTGTACCTCAGATTTTCGATTTTGTGAAACTTCAGTTTTTAACTTATTTACAAAGCAAATATTTTTTAATTGCATGGATAGTGACCAGAAGTTAGAAAAATTATTGCCTTAGGCGTGCTTTAGTTTTGAATTATGTAATAAAATTTTAAGCCACCTTTACCAGAACCAAAACTAAGCAAAAAGTATAAAAAACTATTTTCAAAATTTGAAAAGTTAGGTTTTCCGATTTATGTTGTTGAACAATTGATATTACCCACATATTGTAACTGCAATTATTGATAATGATTAATAAATCATGTTCTTGTTTTTAGCCTTTCGCTAAATCAGCCCCAAAGAAGAGGAAAGTTAACGCTTTGCCTGCTTTGAATACTCTCCCATCTAAAGTAAATGTCAGTGTTTTAAAGGAGAGATGAGTTGAGTGTTAAAATAGGTTATTGACATTAAATAATAATTTAAATAAATCTTAGAAAACTCAATAGCCTTCAGACCAACGACTGTTGATGCTTGTTCCATATCTACTTACTAAATTCAAACTCTTTTGGCAACAAACAGCAGTTCCGTCCTCTATCTACTAGAAACTTAAACTCCGTTCTCTACCATCGCCTCTTTCAGACCCAAAGCGCGATGCAATTCCTCAAATTTTCAAGGAATAATTTGATTTGAAGTTTAGACAATTGAAATTTTTTTACTAACATTGACTCCGAATTTTTTATTTTATTTCAAAACTATTGCCCTGATGTTTTGATCTAACTCTTGTATTGCCTCTGATAGACCTTTCAAATACTTCCAACATGTTGTACCAAATTTTCCTTTTCTCCTTGAATCGTTTGTAATAATTATCAGTGATTTAAACCAATCTACATTACCTCATCTACCATGAAAGAAGGTAACTATGACCTGTTTACAATAATTAATCGCAAATTTGATTTTATACTTTAGGATATTTACATTTAGGGATATAGCATACAATTTCTAAAAATAATTTCATATAGTCATAGTAATTATTTAAAAAATTTTTGATGGAAATATTGTTTAGAAAGCATGTGTTTATCCATAGCATAGTGAATATGCAAGAAATATCAAAAGCGTTGGTTAGTTGGAAATATGCTCTCCTTGTTTGAGAAATGTAATTTGCTGTTAACATGATTTTTTAAAATTCTTATTTCGGTTATTGCGAAAACCATCAAGCGTTACACTTTCTCTTTTAGTACATTGAAATTTATAGAAAGGTATGGTTCGGTGTGATACCATTAAACATAGGCTAAAAGTAACTGCTCCCGTCTCATGTAAAATTCGAAAATATTTTCATAGGTTAACATCGGTGTTGTTTTTATGTATACTATGTAATAGTCACTCAGAAATGGCCGCTAGAGGCCTCTCTACTCACGATTATAGATACGTAAACCCGTACAATATTTTCGATAAAAAGAAAAGCAAAACGTTATAAAAAATTGTAATTAAAAAATTATTTTACGCGTTTGTTCAACTGTTTTCGTTTTATGTCGGTGTGTAAAAAATATACGAGTATACGCAATTTTTTGTTCCAATTTCGGTGTAAATTCATTTGCGTTCCAAACAATTTTTGGTACGGGTGAATGGTTCGATAATTCTCCTTTATGAAACTTTTGCCACTGTAAATTAAAATCGACACAAGTGTCTCACACGGTCACGTGGTCATTATGGTCAAATTTTAATATACATATAACAAATATACATAAAAGACGTTCAAAAACGCTAATAATTTTTCTGTCTATAATGAAATCCTAAAGGTGACGTAAATTTCTTACACTTTTTATGAATATACCGACCATGAGGCATTTCTTTATTATTTTGAAATGTTAAAAATTGTTTGGAAGAAAGACACGGTATTAAATCAACTGCGCAAAAATATATTTGCTTTCCATCCTTAAATGAGTAGGATCACTGTAAAAATATTCGGGCTATATAGCTGAAACTGCGATAGGTCTAAAACTAGTTGTACAGAACCACCAGAATGTGTAAATATAAGTAAGAGAATCTCGTATTAGTGGACGTCTTGTCGTTTTTGCTTGACACCGGGGCGCTAAGTAGGGTATAATAAGTTTGCCGTTAAGAGAAAGGCGGTTTGGTCGGATTTTAAAAATCGCATACCTAATTATTTGTACCGGAAGCCAATTTAAGTGATGCCACTATTGTTATCTCCGCTATGCACTACAATGTCTGTTCAGTTAGAGAAAAGGTCACTTCTTTCATATCTATTTTAACACTCACCAACATTGAGTCGAATTCAAACGTTCTCCAACGTCGTTCAATGCTCTGCCCCCCAAGTTCTCGGTTATTTTCCCACTTTTTCTTTGTCTTTGTTTTTCCTGCGCCAGTTTTTGTTTTGTTAATCGTTCATTTATCATTCTTTTATTTTTATCTCATCCATTATTCTATTTCCCGGATTGGATCATTTCGGGTTCTTGCAAGCCTTGGTCTACCAGAACCAGTGTATCCAATGATGAATTTCCTTCGTTTCGAGAGTTTTCTTTGCCATTTATATATATATGGAATATATACGATGTCTTTTGGTAACTTTTTGATCACGGAATATACTATTTAACATTCCATTCCCATTCACAACTCACAACAATTAAAGAAAAAGTCGACCTCATAACAGTTACAGTTTCGAAAATGGCAATAGCGGTATCAGTCAAAACAGCACCGTGTATAATATTCCAAAAATATTACGTATTGTTTTTCTAAATTACCAACCTGTGATAATTTTTTTCTTTCAAATCGCTAGGATTCTAATTCGAAACGTGTTAAACTAAGTTACATTGATGAACAATTTCTGTTAACAATGTGCAATATCACTTAAAAACATCTTATTTGTTATAAATTTCTGTTAATTAATTTTAAGAGGTAAATTTTAGTGCAATGGAAGTCGTTCTAACGATGTCGCAGATACCTCGAACACTTTGCACGCCAGCAAAGTTCGCGGTGTATTTGTTAGACTAAGTAAAAATGACACAGAGCAAAATTTTGGTACAAACATTATATACTCGTTAAGTTTTAAAATTGATCAATGTACGCTTAGTTTAAATGAAAAGTTCGATAATGCTCAAACATATGTTTAATTTAAAAGAGAATTTCCTTATGATTTCTACACAGGGCGATTGATTTTTCTTTTGGAAATAACCGCAAGGAATGTGACTATCTGTCCTATAAAAATTGTTACTTAAAACGTTTATAGTGTTCTAGATCGTTTGTCAATGAATTATGAAAAAAACCTTGAAAAGAAGCAAAACTAATTTAAACCTTGAAAAGAAGCAAAAGTAATTTAATTTTGAAATACCAAGATCGCTACAAAAATGTAATCATCGTTCATTGACTGACCTGTAGTATCTAAATATATAAGAAGTTTCGTATTCGTACGATGTAAATTGTAACTTCACTGATGCATACTCTCTCAACCGAATTGTTAATGGAATGTACTATATTATTAAACAAAAGTAAATATAGCACTAAAGTGCTGTTATTTATAGCTTCGATGCCATGTTTCTTATTATTAACTGTATAACCTAATATTATGTATTGTACAGAATGTCTGAACTGAATAAATATTTCTTTGGAAGCCGTGCATATAAAATTTTTTATACTCGACACTGAGACCCGCGCTCACAGATCGTCACTTTTAGATTGGTGTTATAGTATTGGCTAGTTTTAAGTGAATAGGAATTCTGCCTTGCGTTGCGACTTCAATTGAGTTGGTGCTGGTAAATTTTAAAACGAAATAAATTAAATAACTGGAAATATCTCCAAATGGAGAGTTACCGTATGTAATCTAACCTACTAAAACTTTATTTTGAAAATATTTTTTGTTATTATTAATCTTGTTAAAGGGCGATGGTAAATTATTTACGTGGAGTAAG